TAGGTCCCTGGAAAGAGATGCTAAGCTTGGGTGTCTAACTGGCTAAAGTTGAACACCTTCCACCCAGATGTCCATTCAGACTGTCCTCCTACTTCCAGCTTCTTTGCATGACACCGTCTTCCTCTGGGAGCCCAAATACATTGAAACTTGAACTTTGTCCATTACGCGGGCCTTTTGATGGTTGCCTAATAATTCAAGAGGAAGCCCTGGGGACTGGAGAGATGGCTTAGCAGTTAAGAGCACTGGTTGTTCTTCCAGAGGACCTGGGTTCAATTCCCAACACCCACATGGCAGTTCACAGCTGTCTCTAACTCCAGTTCCAGGGGATTCTGATACCTTCATGTACATAAAATAAAGTTAAATAAATTGTTTTTAAAACAAGAAGAACCGTGGAGTCCCTAATACCTAAAGCCCTAAGGTTTAGAGCACCTGAATTATGGCCCTGTACCACAAGCCTGAGGCTCAACTTCCCAGAATCATCACCGAGCAGCTCCAGACCTGAAGTGGGAGGACCAGAACCACCTAAGCTCAGCTAGACCCAGAGGGTGAGTGACTTTCCCATAGTTCCATACCTCGTAGCCAGAGAAGGAGATATAGGAATGATCTTCAAAGTAGCAGAGCTCAGCCCCTTCCTTGGGTGAGTGGGTAGCTGAGTAAGCAGTGAGAATCACTTGTCTTTTCCACACGGGCCAGACCCTTGTGTGACCCACGGGACCAAGAACTGCTGCTAAGTAGGCTTACATTTGGAACAATGAGAAAGGCAGGGAAAGAAGAATCCAGAAATCAGGGGGAAGAAACCAGAGAAATCTCCAGTGACCGAAACTTCCCTCTTCCCAGTTGCTCCCAGAATCTGAAATTAGGACCACCTCCTTTTCTTGCTTGGGTTCTCTTCCCACAAGGTGGCTTCAAATCAGGTACCTACACACCCCTAGTGACAGGGAACCCACTATTTTTTGGGCAGTTTTGATTATTTTTAGATATGCCAAGTCAGCCTCTGGATTTCTAGGCTTCCGGAGGGCATGGGATCAGGGCGAATTATGCAAACAGACTAAACTTTCTGAGAGCTAACAGTCCAGGTTTCTCTGTGTACTCCCATCAGACCAGTGAGTGCTAACCATCTCAAAACAGACAGTGACCCTCTCGGCATGGGGCAGCAAGGCCAGCAAGGACAATCCACAACCTCCTCCATCCTGGAGACATCCTTGGTCTCTTGCATCTGAACTTACTCTTCAGGTTTTTATTTGGTTTTGTTTTTACTTTTTCGATACAGGGTTACTCTGTGTAACAGCCGGGGTGATTGTCCTGGAACTCTGTAGACCAGGCTGGCCTCAAACTCAGAGATCCTCCTACTTCTGCCTCCTGAGTGCTGGGATTACAGGTGTGTGCCACTACTACCCGGCTGGGTTTTGTTTTTTGAGGACCTCGTGTAACTCAGGCTGACCTCAAATTTGCTACATAGCTAGAAGCTGTCCTGTAACTCCTGATCCTCCTGCCTCTACCTCCCAAGTCCTGGGATTATAAGCAGGTGACACCATGTTCTGTTCTTGTTTGTTGAGACTGAGTCTTCCTCTGGCCTAGTGCTCTTTGGAACTTATTTTCATGCAAACGTTAGGTATACTCTGAGATGCTGATACTATGCCCCGGTGAGGTGAGGCAGGGAGAGTGAAGGAGAAGCGTCATGCCATCTAACAAGCGGCGTGTGTGAACATACAGGGGTGGGTGTGTCCACTGGGTCACAGGTCCCCAGGTTCCTACCCTTCCGGGGAGAGGAGCTGAATCTGTCATAGGCATTAGCTCCCTGATCCCCCGGAAACAGCTGGAAGCAGAACCTCTGTCCCGATAGTCTACCAGTCCTATTCTCCAGGACCGGGGCTCTAGCACCCTTTCTGGCCTCATTCTTCTGTCTTCCCTCCAGTCGGTAGGCTTACAGGGACCCGCCAACAGAGCTTCTTGCTTCCCAACTTTATCTCACGACCTCTATTTCCTTTGATCTCTATAAAAATCTTGCAAGGTAAGCAGCAGGTGGCTCACTTCCTCATTTTGTAGGTGGAGAAAGAAAGGCCACGAGACACTAGAGAAAGTGTGGGTAGACAAGCGGCCCAGAATGGCCTGGCCACCACACCCTCTGCTCCATTTTCTCCTCTGTTTGGGTTTTCCTGGCTACCCCGGTCACTCCTCACCACTGCTGCTAAGGCTCAAGGGTGCAGCGGACTTAGAGGTGACACAAATGAAAGGCAAACCGGCACTAATGAAGACTAGCCCAGAGAGCCAGCCTTTTGGGTAACTGAGCTACAGCGTAGGCTCCACATCCTAGCACATCCTAGCTCTGCGAACTCCCAGGACTGAACTAGGAGAAACGTCCCGCTTTCTCAGACCCCCAAAGGAAGCCACCAACAAGTGCAGCCAGGAATGAATGGCCTTCAGAAGCCAAGGTCCCGTGGAAGATGGAGGACGTTTCCAGTCTGGCGTGGCCAGAGGAGCAAGTTTCCTGTGACTGGAGATGTTTAAGCAGAGACCCCCTCAAAGGGTCAGAGTAGAGATAAGCTCCACCCACACGGCCTCGTGAACAGTGTTAAGTTCCAGGGCCAGGGGGCCTGAGGCTCAAAAGTGCAGCCAGGCAGTGGGACAGCTGGCTAAGGGATCCTTATGACGTGTTTACCCGCTGTAGCTGAAGACAAATACATTGCTTGGAAATGGGAGCCGTGCCAGTGCTGCTGATGGTTATCCATCCCTTTTGCATCTTTCACTTTCACTCTTTTTCATGCCAGATACTGTCTTCTTCGTGCGTGTTGCAAGCATCTCAATATATAATGTATAAACTATTCTGTTAATCTCCAGACGATTGACGTCTCCTACAATTATAATAATGAAGCCTAGAGGTTAATAATAAAAAAAAATAAAGTTCAGCCAGGCAGTGCCACAGGCTTCTTGTCTCTTTCTTAGTCCAGTGCTCTGTAACATGTGACCCTACCAGGGCCATACCAGCCATGTGTCATTTTCTCCCCAAGACTCTACACTGAAAGGCTGGATTAGCTAAAGCTCCAAGCTTGAGAAGGGGTGGGGGCGGATTCCTGAGGTTTCCAGTTCCGGGTTCTGGGGAGCATTGCCTTGAGCAGTTCTGATTACTCAGGGCTTCATTGCCACCAAGGAACAAGGAAGGCTGCACGCGAGGCTTGGCATATCTGTCCTCCTGGTTGTCAAACTTTTTGCCTAGTCACTGTGACCATGCCCATGCTGTAGTCATGCCTGCCAAGCCCAAGTGAGCAGAGAAAGGAGATGCACTGATAAGCCAAGGGTCACCTCTGGGCCTTTGAGAACAGAGGCCATATCAGCCTGGATGATTTGACCTAGAACGAGTTAGTGATCCAAAGAAAAAGAATGGTCCCCAAAGACACTTTTTGTTGTTGTTGTTTGTTTGAAGGTAAGGTCTCCTATATCTTAGGCTGGTCTTGAACTTGTTGTATAGCCAAGTGTGACCTTGAATTTCCGGTTCTCCTACTTCCATCTCCCAAATACAGGGTGACAGGCTGTTCTGCCACATCCAGCTTCTAGACATTTGGCAGTCCGGGGTGGGGAAAGTACTCTACTGCACTTACTTCTCCCAAATTCACATAACACTTTGTGCCTGGCCTAGTCCGAGACACCTTAAACGACAAACTTAGAGTATGGTTCTTGACTTCTACACACGTACCTGTGAGCACACCGGCAAACAGCACACGTCTATGCACAACACCTCACCCTCACCCCTGCATACACTTAATCTGCACACACCGGATACATACACACAAATCCGTATACAAAATATGTCATAATGGGAAAAGACTTACCAGCAAGGATTCTGAGTCTAGCTTTGAAACCAACCCATGAGTAATCAGAAATTAGCCCCCTATTAGGTCTGCCTGTGAAACTGAGATTGTACCGTCAGTTGCCTTGTCTGGTAGGGGAGCACTCAGGCTGCACACACTTCGGATACCCAAGTTGCCCTATGAAAGGATTTGATGGAAGCCACAGAAGTTGCGTGTGTGTATGTGTGTGTGCGTGCATGTGTGTGTGTGTCTGTGTGTGTGCACGTTCAGTACTGGGCTTTGAACCCATTGTCTCCTACATGTAAGTCAGGTGCCCCATTTCTGAGCTATCATCCAGTAGTTTGCTTGCTCTGGTTTCATGGAATTGGGTGCTTTGGGGCAAGCCCCTTCCTCTCTGGACCTCCATTTTCCCCATCTATCAAAGGATAGGGCTGGGCTCAGTCCACAGCCCCCCCTACACCCCCCCCACCCCCGGTTTTTCGAGACAGGATTTCTCAGTGTACTGGAACTTGCTCTGTAGACCAGGCTGGCCTTGAACTCACCTGGCCACCTCTCTCTATTACATCCTGGATATAAATAGGGCCTTCTCACAGACCTGCAACCAGGTAGATCTTGTCCACAGAAATAGTGGCTCCCCCCCAAAAAAATGGAGCCTGGAAGGTCTAGCCGTACCAAATACCTGACTGAGCAGGGCTCTGTATGCCCTAGGGTGTAGCACAGAAAGACTGGGTGGATAACCAAGCAATAGTTAGTGGATCGGGTGCTGGGAGTTTCATGGGATGCAGGCAAAATGCAAAATGCTCCTTCTGTACCCTGGGATCAACTGATAGAGGTGCTGAGACCAACAGGCAAGTAAGTACCAGAGCTTTCCAATTCCTGATGCCCCACTACCATGCCAGGAGCCTGCCTCCTGCCTAGCTCCTCCACGCGGCAGGGAAAGGCATGGCAACAAAGGTCCCGGCCAACTGATGCTTTGGCATCGTGGCCATACACCTTTTCGGCACCCATTGTTCCCTCTCGGGTGCCTAGACCCTTTCGGGTCTGGCTATACACACCCTCCCCACGAATCAGCTGCCGCGCCCCCAGTCCCGTGCCTCCCCCGGAAAGCCGTGGCCGGGCGGGAGACCGGACTTCCGCGATTGACAACTACTCCCTCCGCAACACGGATCCCGGATCCTGAGATGCTGGCCTTACCCAGAACTTGGAACCCAGCTCCCCGGAGCCGCACAGGCGGTCCATGTGGCTCAGGTGCACGGCAGGACTGAGATCTCGGTTCAGCCCAGCCCCAGCAGAACTGCCCCGGAGCCGCCTCCCAGCTCGACCGGCACTCCTCCCGGCCCCGCCCTCGGGTCCTCTGGTCAAGTTCTCTCGGTCCTTCTCAGCGATTGCGACACGAGTCTTCGCCTCAATAAAAACTGCTGGTACCTAAAATTACAACCCTGGAAGGGACTGTAGAGTGAGGAAAGGTAGTTGACAAGACGAGTCCCTTCCAGTGGCCCCTGAGCTTCTAGACCCCAAAGCTGATGGGCCTGGGAAAGTCTTCATCAGTTTTCCAATGGGATCTGAAACACGCAAATTTTCAACCCAGCCAGAAAGACCTGGAGAGGCAGTTAGCAAGCTTCTCACTGTAAAAGAAGTACTTTATAAAGGCAGGGTCACTTCTGATTTTGTAAACACAGGATCATCTCGCGTTTCATCATCTATAATATGAGAAGTGCTTGCGAGCCTAGTAGTATTCTCCACAGGTTGTCAGAAACAACTGACAGACAATGGCTCATATCTGTGATGTGTGCACGTGCATGTGTATAGCAAGAGAGTGAGGCATGCAGTTGGTCCCAGTACCAAATAGATGGGTGTGTGGCCTCCTTGTGGTCCTCTTAAGCTGCTGCCTTCTGAAGCTCTGTGGCTCCCTAGTTTTGCTCAGGACACTTCCACCCCAATTTTGCACTGGTAAAGTATGGATAACCATTATGGAATCCTTTAGGCTTTTCTGAGGAGTCTACGGAAAAGTATATAAAGCATATGTATTGCATGAAACATATGTTAATTCTATTTCAGCCTGACCAGGGTGGGGATGGGCAGTGAGACTCCAGGAAGAGCTCCATACTAGCAACCTCATCTTAATGCTGAACCTCCACATTGTCAGTTTGCTAAAATGGCCTTCCCAGCTTGGTTGTGCTGGGATCCCCTCCATCTCTCTTTTTCCCTTATAGGCTCCCAACTCACCACCCATCCCTGGAGCTAAGTAAAACATTTTCTCGGTCTAATTTACCATCTTTACCTGCAAGCTCCTGGCGTGTGTGTGTGTGTGTGTGTGTGTGTGTGTGTGTGTGTGTGTGTGTAAGAGAGAGAGGGGAGGGGAGGGGGAAGGTCGGCCTCCCTGGGTACTTGTTTCCCACACAGGACAAGGTATTTCTAGCCTCCTGGGGTTCATGTAGGTTTGCAGGGATCCAGGAGGACAGTGCAGAAAAGATCATCTCCGACCCCTCTGGACTGCAGGCAGGAAGTCCTGGAAGCCAGAATAGAGATGAATCAGTAGACTGAGGTGGGCAGCGGTGAATGAGGTCCCTCCCCGCTTCCCAGGTGGTTTTTCTGGGGACCTGTGCAGATTCTCTCAGCCCTTTCTTCTCCTTCTTTCCCACGCTGCCTTCCCTCAACCTCCGCTCTGTGCAGGAGACTTTAGGAGTTTTCATATCTTGTCAGTGTACTTTTGGCTACATTTGCTTGTGAAGTCTCTCTTCTTTGCCAATCTAAAAGGTCCTCATGGCCAACTGAGTCACCTCTACTTCCCCTTCCTGCCTCAGGTCGTAACTTTTGTGCACTATGTAACCTTAACACGCTCCTTGTGTCTCTGGGATCAGTTTCACCTTAGAAGTGAGCGAAGTTCCACGGAAGCTCTCTTTCTACATTGTGGTCCAGGCCACTAGGACCAGAGCATCTGGGAATCAGTCTCTAAGCCTTCCATTATCCTTGAACACGACTTCCCAGCACCTTTGCCTGGCGTTTTACTACTGGCTCTCTCTTAGAGTCTGGCCATGGTTTGAGGAGACTAAGGGGCCTCCCTCTGGTACCCTTTAGGAGGTGAGCTCCTTCAGGTACCCTTCGGGTTCCCTGGGACCTTCCAGCTCAAGGTCAGCGTGGAGTCCTCCAGTTAGCTCCCTGATTTAAGGACAGGAGTCTGGTTTCAGCACTGAAACAAAGCTCCATCTTCTGTGACATCAGCCTTTCCATCCTGCCTTACCTTCCATCCTTACCATACCATACCATACCATACCGGGGTGGGAGGTTCCGCAAACAATGTGCGGTCCCTGGCGATCCTTGCCATCCCCCGCCTCTGGAAATGCTCCGAGTTCACTCCCCTGGCCTCTTTCACACAGTCCTTGAAGAATGAGCTTAGTGTTTGTATGACATCATTGTTTTGGTTAATTGGTTCACCAGAACAAGAGATCTCAAGCCTTGGGACATTCCACAGTTTGCCCAGGGCCTCAGAGCTTCATCTGGCACAGATATCAAGAGCCTTCTTCTCCTGTTTGTAGCTTCCACACATGGCTATTCCAGGCAGCTCCCTGGACAGGATGCATTTCCTGGACCCTTAACTATTGTACCCCTGCCCCTAACCCACCTTCCAAGCTGCTCTGCTGACTCCCTAGCTCCCCCAACTTTCTGTACCCACCAAACTCTGTTTATCTTTCAAGAAGATATCTGTCAATGGCCCACAGTGGTGGCACAGGCCTTTAGTCCTAGCACTTGTGGGGCAGAGGCAGGCAGATCGCTGTGAGTTCAAGATCAGCCTGATTTACAAGAGCTAGTTCCAGGACAGCCAAGGCTGTTAACACAGAGAAACCCTGTCTAGAAAAAAAAATTACACCCAGTTGCCAAAGATTGTTAAGACAAAGATCCCAGGGGACTAACTACTCTCGGGTTGGGGATGGAGGGGCCCAACAAATGACAGTCGTGGTAGGACCAATATTTCGCCGAGTTTGTATCTGTGATACTGAAATTGTTTCTGCGAAACTCTGGATACGTGAGCGAGGGAATGGGGAAAGCAACGGATAGAGACATGACGAAGTTGTCAGCATTACAATTTCCTTTTGCAAGGCAACATTCTGCTTGCTATTGAATGTGTTGAATAAAAACAGAATGAATTCATCTGTGCGGGAGGCTTTGCATAGAGCTAAATGCTGATAAGTCTGAGGTGTGTAGACAGAGACTGCACTTTTTAGACATGAATAATCACACAGAAACTATATTAATTGCAACATTGCTTGGTCAATGATTTAGGCATACTCTTAGCTAGCTCTTACATCTTAAATTAACCCATTTTTATTAATCTATGTATCGCCACGAGGTTGTGACTTACCAGTAATGTTCTAGCACTTTTCTCCTTTGGCAACTACGCGGCGTATCTTTGACTCCACCTACTCTCTCTCTATATCTCTGTTTGGATTTCTCACCTGGCTTTACTCTGCTAAGCCAAAATAGCTTTATTCATTAACCAATAAAAACAACACATTTACAGAAGGACATTCCACATCAGAGGTATGAGCTAAGGTGGCTTTGTGATAGCTAAAGAAAGTTCATTTTATGCTAGCCCTCGGTCTTGGTACCCACTAGCCCTTTGTCTATGATCCCAGTCCTGAAAGACAAGTTCCTAGTAACTCTGAATCAGTGGCCCTGACCCAGAAATATATAGTCATCTACTTGCTATGGTATGGCTGATTGCTTTTTTGGCTTTTGTAATTTGTTTATACAGACACCCAAGGATTATTGTGGTTAGTCTTGGCAATTTAATGTGGCAGAGCAGACTAGGTTTTGCTTACTTTTGTAGATACTGAAGGTCTTCTTGTGTTTTTTTTTTTTGCCTTTAAAAAATTATTTCCTGAGCAGGAGAGATGGCTCAAAGGTTAAGAGCACTGGTTGCTCTTCCAGAGATCCTGAGTTCGGTTTCCAACAATCACATGATGACTCACAACGATCTAAAAGATCCGGTGCCCTCTTCTGGCATGCAGGCAGAACACTGTATAGATAATAAATTTAAAAAAATCATTTCCTGTTAGGCGATAGTGGCACACACCTTTAATCCCAGCACTAGGGAGGCAGAAGCAGATCTCTGTGAGTGTGAGACCAGCCTGGTCTACAAATCGAGTTCCAGGACAACCAGGGCTACACAGAGAATTCCTGTCTCAAAACAAACAAACAAGCAAAACCCACACAAAACAAATAAAATAAAATAAAAATCCCTTCCACATACCTTTTCTTCACGACATGCCTGAGATTCAGTTTTAAGGCTGTCGTCCTGCTAGCAGCCAATCAATAAATCCTTTAATTATAATTGAGTTAAGTCCATGGTCTTTCCCCAGGGGTCACAAACTCCATAAGAGCTCAAAATAAAAGTAGAATACCTTGAGTCACATAGTAAGAATCAGTTTGTAAATTGAAAGTTTGAACATGGATTTGTTTGAAGGCAGAAAGGATAGTGAAGGTGGGGGCTGTTTAGCAGGCAACAAAAGAATGCCATACTCCAGCCTCGTTACACCAGGATTGGCTTCTTTGCCCGATATGTTGGCTCCGTCTGAGAAATGATAAATGTACCAGAAATAGGATGTGAAATTCCACAGAATCTTTATAGGTGTGAGATGGAGATTTGTCCCCCACAAAAAAAAAAAAACCAGTAAAAGCTGTTTCCTGGGGATATCTTGTGAGGTCTATAGAGAAGGCTGAGATTGACTTGAGATACAGAAGAATAAACAACATCAGAGTCTTGTTCAGTTGAGTCAGGAAGTTCTGCTTCTGCCTTGTGTAAGAGTGATTGTTGCGTAAACATTTTTTATTTTTATTTTTTTGTTTTTTGAGACAGGGATTCTCTATGTCTCTCTGACTGTCCTGGAACTCGCTCTGTCGACCAGCTGGCCTCAAACTCACAGAGATCTGCTTCTGCCTCCCAAGTGCTGGGATTAAAAACGTGTACCACCACCACCTGGTGAGCAAACATTTTTTGAGTAAAAGTGTTTTGCTTAGGTATACTGCTTTAAAATGCTGACAGGGGAAGTTAATTGTCCAGTGACTCCCCTAAAATCTAAGTGTCTTTGGAAAGGTTGTCTTTGCTGCAGACTTATGTAAAGGAGAGTCTACTCCAGCCCACTGGTCCCCCTGGGTCAGTTTCTCTCTGCCCGCCTGTTCCCAAATAACTACTCAGAGATTTCATATCAGTTACAATTGTCTGGCCAATGGCCTAGGCTATTACTGGCTAGCTCTCTCTATAAATTAACCCATTTCTATCAATTTATATTTTACCATGAGGCTTGTGGCTTATTACCTCACATCTTG